ATTCACAGAACACGCGCAGTAGAAATATCAGGAACAATTCGAATGATGACTGGCAGCAGACTGGCTCAAAAATAATTAATATCAAAAAATGCTGGAAGAGTGACCTTTGATTTTTAGTCTCTCCCTCCCAGGAATCTGCATTGCTGCACCTGATTGGCATTGAAAGGGATTAATTAATGGTTCGAATATGCAATTAACATGGACTGCCATGTAACAGCAGCCCAATTGAATCATTGCAGAGCATTCTAGATAATTTGACACAGATTATATAATTGGTGATCTAATCATTCCGCCACAGCCCCAATAATCCAGAGAGGGACCACAAAAGAAAATCATTCTACAGAGAAAGTCATTGTAGACAAGATTGTTGTAGAGAGTCCACTTGCATTTTTATTGGTACAGTATATGACGATGGATAGTTTTTTCGAAAATAAATTGAGACTTTAAATTGCTTCCTACAAGTGGTGTAAGTTCGTTTCACTGGGCATGCGGAATTTCGAATTTCAACATGAAAGTACTAAATATTTTAAATAAATTTTGGCAATTTGAGCGCTCTCAAATTCTAAAATGCGTAGAAAAAGCAGAATCAACCATTGTGTGAGTTTTTTTTGCATACAAATTTTGATCATTAATTTTTAAATAAAAATTAAAGCTTATATTTGCTGTAAGTCGCCTTAGTTCGTCTTAGTAGGCAGGCGAAGTTTCCCTAATTCTCCTCAGATCAATATAAAAATGCTGAAGCATGAGTGAATTGTTAATTACATGAATCTGATGGGATTACAAAATTGTCAAGTGGATAGAAATGAAGGTGAAAGTTTTTCAGATATCCCTAATACAGATAGTTGCTTAAATTTTAAATCTACTTGAAAATCATCATGAAATATAACCACAAGACATTGAGTTATGAATGTATTCAAACTCATTGTAGTCAATTGGACAATTATATACGTAGATTGAAGTTGAGGTACATGATTTTTTGCATTCATATTCACCTGCCAGATTAATTAAGAAATATATAGGAGGTGGTTCAAATTATTCATGTTACAGTTTTTTGAATATAAATACAGGTGAACCTCAATAACTCAAACCTCCCCAAGTTTAAAACCCCCGGAAGTCATTTTTTTTCGGATCCCCATCTGAATCTCCTTAGAAATACTGCAATAGATTTAAAACCTCCGTAAATCGAAAGCTTTCCCCCTTAAACCTCTGTAAGTTGAATTTTCTGTGGTCTGTTGGCTATTATTTTCTTTACGCAAGAAAGGAAAAACCAATAAAAACATAAATTGTTGTGTTTCAAAAGGAAGTGGAAGACTTAATGGGACAAATGAACCTCTGCCTACAAGTTCAGCATCCTTTCAACTCATTTAAGAAGCAAGTTAAGCCCCAGAATACCACCATTTACAATTTTTGGCAACTTTTTCTATGTTTCCCAGAAAAAAATAGCTTTGTATTCGAGCTCAAACCTCTATTATTTAAAACCTTCTTTAAGTCAAAACCTCCCCAATTCAAATTTGTTGCTGGTCCCTTGAAATTTGACTTAGAGAGGTTCAACAAAATTTTAAAGCTTTTGTTTTTGAAAAGTAATATTTTAAACAAGCATTAATGATTCTGGAGAATAAAATTTGAATTTGTATATTCCGACATAAGTTTCTTTTTTTCGCGCTTCACGCGTAATCCAGTTTCATTCTGAAGAGCTGTGACGCGCGGTTAAATCAAAATTTTCCTTATGGCGTTGATTTCGTTTCATCCTCTAGTTTTTGCGAATAATCATCAAATAGAGAACAAAGAAAAGGGGGTTTTTCTTTTCCGTTTCTTTTCACGATTTATTGCTGAGGCAGTCTTCCGAAGCATAAGTGCAGAGTTGGGGGGCGACTCTCAGTGCGTTGATGATGCCATATATGCGATAGTTGCTTCACCGGCTGTTGAGACGTGCCCTGCAATATATTTCTCCGACGCGGGAGACTCGATTGCTTTCGACACTACACACACACACACACACCACACACACTTGACAGCTGATCGAAATCAGCGTCTGAAAAGTGTGAAAGGGAGAAAAAAATAGTGATGAATTTTTTCTTTAAAAAAAAAGGGAAAGAAGAAAAGGAAGAACGAAGGGAACGATCGATCACAAAGCAGCCCTCGCGCAGGGTTGCATAACTGCTTCGAAAAAAAAAAACCGACTTACTTACGTATTTCTGCATATATATATATATACTCGAGATGAGATATTTTTCTGACGTTCATTTATTTACAGTCCTTTTTCTTTTTAGAATCGGTTTTTGTTGTTGTTTTGTTTCCAAAAGTTGAAAAGGATTTTGTGTTCCCTGGAATATATGTGGACAAACTCTACAGCGAATTGACCGACGAAGACTCGTTTGCGTGGTTTTCTTTTATTTTTTTTTGAGCGACGGACGAAGAACGACAGGAAAACGATTGTATATTAATGACTTGATCTTTGCACCTCTGTTTTTTTTTTCTCTCTCGATTTTTGCACAGTTTTTGGGAGCTTGTGTAGGGTATATAGTCATCACAGCCGGGTTCTTCTTTTTCCACTGTCCTTCAGTAGATTCCAGTAGACCGAATGCTTTTTTGCTTCAGCTGTAGCCTTTTTAGTGGGGATGCTGAAATTTTGTATAATTTATCAAAAGTTTCGTTAAATTGATCAAATATATTTTTGAAGACGAAGCTTGAAGAACAATCGAATCGTATCTTTCAATATTCTAAATATAGTCGATCCAAATTTTTCTTGATGAGTCGGGAATCCTGATGATTTTCCCCGTGCTTCTGAAATCTCATTCGTGAGTCAAATTATTTTCTATGTCTCTCAAGAAGGAATTTAGTTTCTAACGCGACTTTAATTCGTGATTTTATTTTTAAATCTAAATTTTTAATTAACCTCGTGTTTCCGAAGTTTTATATCATTACAAATTCAGAGTGTTGTTTAAAAATATGCATAAATGCCGTCAATCTCGCAATTGTGAAGTTCCAAACTGGATTTACGTCTGGAAACGCTGTTGCTTGCACCCGGCTTTCATAAAAAAAAAAACTCATTCCTTTCCCGATTGTTGCTTCTTTTATCTCTCATCGGAATTTGCAGAGTTTCGACATATCGCAAAATATTGAATCGTCTTTTTCTATGTATTGGTTTTTAATTATCGGTTTCTTGGGTGAATGTGATGCTTTTCAGCCCCAGAAAAAGCGAAGGGCGGACTCGACAAAACCGTCGACTTCATCACGTCGTCGTCGCCCACAAACGTCTTTTTCCAGCTCGAAAATAAACTAACTTCGAAATGAAAAGTCAAAAACTTCCAAGTCAAATATAATCCTAACCGGAAGTTAAAAAAATACTGTACTGTGAACCAAAAGTGATGAAGACCGTCGAACATGATGAAAGACATGGGAAATAATTTCTAAAAAAAAAAGGAAGAAAGAGAGACATATCAATGTATTTTTGCGGTTTGTTGTTTGGTAACCCTTCCCACCTGATGAATTTAAAGTTTTAAGACAAAAACTCGGGCCTTCATTTTCGAATTTCTGATGATAGATGACCATATTCATATGATTGCACATAAAATAAAGTTGGAGCTGACGAATGATATGTTTGTGGATGACGTGGACAGACGTGTTGGACATTGACAGCGATGATGATGAGCAACTTACGATGAGAGTAGCCTGAATGAGGTACTGCACTGTTGTGACTTGAGACGCAAAATTCTGACGCTTTTTACTACTTTACTGGACTCGATTTTGTTTTCTGACGTTGGTGATGGATTTTTGCTTCGCATTATTGAATGTTCTGGTGGCGGATTGGCTCAAATTTTTGCCCAAGCGCGTCACGTCTTGAATTTCTGAATTAAAATTTATTTACATTAATTCCCTGATGCATCGGGATCCAAGGGATGTTTTCCCAGATGTTTTCCCAGAAATTCAAATATTCATTACTTCTATAGCAATGAATATTTTAGATTTCATGCACAATCGAAACCTTCGTACAATAAAGTATTGAACGACTTTGAATCTGCAGAATTCTGTGCCGAATAATGGCCGTGTATGAAGCTTTTCACGTATACTCTACGTATATTTACGTATCACGTTCAAATAAAGAGGAATAATATTCTGCAAAAAATAAATTAAATCCGCATGCGAATGTTATTCAAGAAGAAGAAGCTCACAAGTATCCCTGTGATAAATTGGTACGGGCATTTTTTATGCGTTTCTCGTGAACTTTGAGCTTCCTTTGTGCAAAAATAACTCTTCAAAACTGCAAACGGCTTACTCAGAGCCACTATAGCACAATTTGTGTCAACAATCCCTGGGGCATGAACACTTTTTGGGTTGGTTACCAGCAATCAGTGTTTCCCAACTCATGGTCCAAAAATGGGAAATTTTCTTTGGCATGAAAATGTATCAAATGTAGCAATTGAGTCTGTAATCTTGCTGAAATTTTGGAAAGACGTGGGCAGTTGAAATTATCTGATGAAAAATAAAAGATGGCTTTTCCTTTAATACCACTTCAGAAAAGTTTTCATGTGCTGAAATGAATTCTTTTAATTTTTCATTCGGAGAAACTTTTCTATCCATGCCCAATTTTGTAATTTTTTAAAGACATTCCATTGTAGCTGCTTCATTGGTTCTTAACTTCATTTTGCAGAAAAGCAGAAGCTTTTTATATACAGTATAGTACTTGCCATAAAGTCATTCAAGCAATACTTATTTTGAGTCTGTGGAAATTTTATGAAACGTTGCCAGTCTGCAGAACATTTTTGAGAAATTTGCCAGTCGCTGCAGGCCCAAAAAAGTTGGGGAACGCTGGGTTGAGTGACATATAGTACGGTATATAGACTGCATACTTTTGTTTATATTAAATTGTCTTGCATGATTGCATGAGTCTTTTGTTTTGTAGTACATTATATAGATATACTGTAGTTGCATACGTTTCGCGCTTCTTCTCGCGTCTCTGTCCAGCTCTTTCCTCTTATTTCCCCTGTCACTCTTTCCAGAAACATGGCAGCAGCTATGACAGCCCTCGTCCATCGGGCAGCAACTCCCACAAGCCACCCAGCAACCCCCGATTCCCCCAGTACCCCAGCTCCTCCTTCTACTCTCCCAAACGGGTAGAATACAGTCCCTCGCCCTCGTCCTATCCCACCCCGCACCCGTTCTACGCCGCCGAGAAACGCCCATCTCTCTACTCCGATAAGCAACGCCCCTCGTATGCCTACACCACCACCACCTCGACATCATCACGCCCGTCCTACTTCGACACACGCCCCAGCAGTCAGTACACCACGTCTCGTCCGTACCGACCATCAGTCCAGGACTACACGACTCGGAAACCCTTCAGCTACAACAGACCAACGACGACGACGACGACGACGACCAGCTCTTACCGGTCGCCGTCGTCATCACCGTCGAGGATTGGGCTCTTCGAGTCCCGCCCTTCCACGTCGACCGCGCAACGGTACCACACGATCCTCGCTGTGCCGATACACCACAGTGTCGAGCGACAGCCGCAATACGACTACGTTCAGCCCAGGTACCGAGAGGATGATGAAGAGCCATCGGCAGAGGTGGGGCTGGACACGGGTTCGTACCAGCAGCCAGCAGCGCAATCCCAGGAGCAGCTTTATCCAGGATACCAGCAGCAACAGGAGCAGGAGCAGGAAGACGTGGTGTACGTGAGGGAGCAGGAACACTTGCCCAGCAGCCAGCCGGTGTATGATGATCGCGAGCGACATCGCGCGGAGAAGGCCGACTATTATAATGATGATAGCAGCAAGCGACACCTGGCTCGCCAGCCGAGACAGCAGGGATTGCCGGCCGAGTACAAGGGCAGGAAGGCGAATACGTACACTGTCGACATCGGCGCTGCGAAAAGCACCTTCACACTGTACACCTGAAAAACAAAAACCCCAAAACAAACGAACCGACGCGGAACCTCCGATTTTTTTCCTTATCGCTTTTTTTTTAGTATTCAGTTTTTATATGTTTTGAAGTTTGTTAACAGCAACACGCGCAAACGAAACCAAACAAAAAGTTGCGCTCATGATATGACGAGAGTCCGAGGAGCATCGCGTTGTCATAAGTTCAAGCTTGTTTGTCGAATCCCAAATATATGTAAAATTCAGCTTTTTTCATGTTTTGCACTTTAAAAGAAACGAAGACCAAGAAACTGTTGATCTCTCTTCTTACACTCGTTATAAGTATTTTTTTCTGAAGCCTTCATGAAAGTATTTAAGCATATTGAGCGTTTCAGAAAATTTTGGAAAAATGTTTTGTGCGCAAAATATTGTTTCTCCAACTCTGTCGGTCTGGAATAGATGAAAAGTGGTGCATTTTCATATTGCTGTTGAAGACCGAGAGGATTAATCCTTCATGTTTTGAATAATGTCAGGGTTTCTCCTGAACAAGATGAAAGGGGGAAAAAAATTGACGAAGTTACCATTTGTATTGTATTTTGCTGAAACTACCCCTTTATAAAATAATTTCCAAGTCGAGCACAAGCATATATTTCAAGAATTAAAATATTGTAACATAGATCCGACATCGGAATCTTTAAAATCAGCGTTGCTTCCAATTTTGGCCATTCTCAGATTTTTAGTAATACATTACTTAACATAATTATGAATGACCCGACACCCGAATGATCTCTTTGAAAACTTCGATGAACTGCTATATAAAGTAAACCAAGTACAGCAGCAAAGTTACCACGAAAAAGAGAAAAGCTAATAGAAATTGCGAGTTGTGAATGTGGGTCTGTTTTAGTCGCAAAAATAGTTCCCTCGTGCAAAAAAAATGTATCTTTGAAATCTAATTTCAGCTTTATTGGCAACGGCACGATAAAATTGTTCTGCAGAATTTTTTTTTCAAGTTCATCACTGAGAAATGGATTAGTGAAAGTCAGCTTGGGAAATCTTTTTTTTTTTTCAGAGAACCGAGAAATTTCCTACAATACACTGGGTCTTATCGAATAACTTCCTCCTCCAGCGTTCTCTAGATTTCAATTGTGAGGAGCTGAAGGCGAGAAAATATTTCGCCACTCGCCGATTTTTTTTTTTCCTGTTGCTGATGACTGACGAAATTTTTGTTTCTTTTATTTCTATCCCCTGGTTTTGTGAATATTACTGAAAATTGTACGAAGTGAAACAGAGAAGAGAAAGATTCGACGTTCGTTTGTGTGCGAGGGAAATGAGGTAAACAAACGAGGCGCCTGCAAAAAAGTATAGTTTACAAAACAAAACAAAAATTGGGTTGACCCGGATTTTCCCCTTCCTGCGGAATTTCGCGACCGGATCAAAAATTCCAACGTTTGGAGCAACGGGAAATGTCAGCCCTGTTTTCTTTGTGGCTCATGAGAGAATTATGGGTGCTTTGATCTACATCGAATACTTCAACGTTTTTGTGTGACAGAATTCAGCAATGAAAAAAAAAGAGGCGAAAGCAGGGAAGCCAAAATGGGTGAACGAGTTGAAACGAATTTTTCGGACGAATAAAATGTCCGTGTATTTTCCTCAGTTGAATGAACACTCACACGTTTGTTTCAATGCTTCTTCGATTTTTTTCTTAATGGTTGCCTGTTTTTTTTTTTCCACAGTGAACCATGAACAGGGAATTAATCATGAGGTCTTGAAAATTTGCCGGAAAAACGGCATCCAAATAGAGATTGGAAAAAAAACTATCCCAATATAGTTTGAACTTGACAAAAGTCGTGCGTTTCTTCCCGTGTTGTTTTGGAATTTTTTTATAATTTAAACTAATTTTTTGTTGTGATACGAATTAGTTTGAATCAAATATAGAAAACGAGGATTTCAGATTTCATCCGAGCAGCATCTATAGCTGCTGCTCATTTTTTCTGGCAAAATTTCTGGAAAAAAAAAATTCCAGAAAGCTTGCTCCATGTTCTTTTGATTTTGTTGTCCTAAAAAATAACCTTTTCTTTATTTTTTTGAATTTTGCGACTTGGAATGCTTGATACAGACGAAGCTGAATTGCGAGGTTCTACGAGACGATCTCGCTCTGGAAGTTCGCTGGGCCGTTGCTGGTGAAAGCATCGTGATTCAACTCGTCGGGAAACTCGGTGAGTTGAATTATTCTCGCAAAAATAATGAATATCTGCACCTATAAAAAAATTACTTTGCTGTTTTTTTTTTGTGCGAATGACACTTCTGGTTTTTTCATTATACGAACGCATCGCCTGTGGGGCAAGACCGCAAAAATGATACAAATTTTAACTTACGATTTCCCCACCTTCCTCAGCTCAAATTTTACCACCGTGTAGCACCGCATTGAAATGCTTCATTTTCCAATCATTAAAAAAATATTTCCTGTTGAATAATTGTAAAGCATATATCTTTATTCATTGTTGGGGTGTATTAGTAAGAAAACATTGCCTCCACACAGTGAATAAGGCAAGCGTGCAAGAAAAATTTTTACGTGTGCAGTACATGTATTTTGTTCTGAGAAAATAGTTTACTTCTGTGAGCGTTTCATCATGGTCAATGCTTTAAGATTGTTTGAATTTTTGTCTATCATTCCTCCAATTTGTAAGCTTGATTGCCCTGGGAAGAATGCGTTAAATATTCAAAATTCTGGACACATGTAACCGACTCGCGCAGTAACAGCAAAAATAAATCATGAAACGTGCGTAAAACAGTCAAACAGAGAAATTTAGATGCTTCGGATTTAAAGATGAAAATTTTGAAGTTCGGCTTTCAAATGAATCAGTGTGCTCTTTAACAAGCATCGGAGTCCAAGACGTAAAAATAACAGCATGATACTTGATTGAATGGTTCATGCACGTGCAAATCTCCTTAACCATTTTTCCAACCTTTTGAGATGATTTTAAAGCATTATCTGGTTTATGAAAATGTAATGTAATTTTAAAATCAAAATCTGGAAAGGCTCAGAGCATTTTTTCCGAATGACCTGGATTCAATTGTATTCCTGCGATGTAAGATTCCCCTTGAAAACTAATTTGTGGAAAATGCTGGTGCATGCAAGGGTGCTACTTCTAAAAATGGCATAACATGTTTCAGTTCTCTGTGCGTCTTAGACTCAATTGTTTGTTGCATTCGAGGAAAAAGATTACATAAGCCTGATGTACGGCATTGACTTCCTCTCTTGACTTCCAAAACTTGCGGATGATGATATAATGTGGAATATTTTTTTCTCTCATTTTTACCTTCTAGAGGATAAACAGTATGTGGCGTTCGGTCTCAGTGGTGCAGAAAAACGACCACGAATGGTTGGCGGTGACGTTGTGGTCGCCTACATGGAACACTCAACTGGCAAGGGGTTTGCCAATGACTATTACTTGGAAGGAAAAGGTCAATGCGCAGGTGACAGTGGAGCTTGTCCCGATGAAGTTTTCCAAGTAAGTTTCAACATCTAATTTTTCTTCTAAGTAATGTAGAAAACCTTTTTTTTACTATGTTTAAGCTTTATTTCAAAAGCAATCAGAGGTTTAAAAAAAAAAAACAAGTGAGCAAAAACATATCTTCAAAAAGATTTGGGACTCTTGAAATTCAATGAAAAGACTCTTTCCAAAATCTTTGAGGACCAAGATAAACTGTTAACTTAATACAATTTCTCATAAAAGATTCTCTCCAAATTTTTTTAACCCTTGGATGGCAGAGGGTTCTTTCCCATAGCAGGACAGAGTTGGATTATTTTTGCATCCTCCCACATTTTCAGATATTCCAAGGTCAGGAAAACCCTTCCAGGTGGGCTGAGGCAAAGTTGGGATAAATCCAAAAAAAGTGGGTAGCCTAACTGAGCTTTTTTTTTTATTTTCCTGCAAAAATTGTCTGTGCCCAGGGAAAAAAACATTGGGATTTTTCCTGACTTTTCCCTTAACCCCCTGTTGAAAAATTTTTCTTCGCCTCTCTGAGGTGCAACAAAATTTTGCAAAAATAGTCCGACTTTGCCGCCCAAGGGTTAATTAACTATACCTTATCTGGGAACAGGCTGAACACCTTGTGCTTTAATTTAGGTCTATTAATTGTCTTATGCTGCAATTCTTATTTCTATATTTTGCTTTTATTATCAGAAAGGGAAGAAAGTGTATGTATTCACATTAGTTGTGCAATTGTACATTTTAGGGTGTATTTTCTTTTCTTTTAATATCCATATACAGCTTATTTCTCTATTGTGGGTGGGAGGGGAGTGGGTCTGGATGTGGGAACATTGCTTGAACCTTGTGAATGCTGAAAAAGCAGAAAATAAAGCATGCTGTTCACTTAAATTAAATTCAATACTGTGTGTGCTATATATGGTATTTACTCATGTACCACATGCACCTTTTTTCTCAAATATTAGAAGAAAAAAAGGGGTGCACAGCATGAGCAGGTACAAATTTTTCAAGAAGTTTTAGGAAGTTATGTGTGCATTATACTTAATTATAATGGATAAATTTGGAAAAAATCTAACAAGAAAACTTTTTTGTGCTGAAAAAGTTGAAAATTGATGAGATTTTTGTTCAATTCATGTCTAAACTCAATTTTTTGTTTTTATTTTCAAAATTTTGTGGTTTTAGATTCACTAAAAATTGGGGTGCGCATCTTACATGGGGATAAGATTTTAGCCAAATTTCCAACTGAAAAACCCCTGTGTGCGCCTTACTCAGCGGTGCATGATACTTGAGTAAATATGGTACTCACTAGAAGGTGCATGGTATATTCAAGTAAGTATGGTAAAAGTAGAAAATAATGCAAGTACACTAGAATCTTTATACAACTTCTTTATCTGCTGTGTAACATGCAGGTATTTTTTGTTTTTGTCCCATAGGGTTCGCTACCTATGTTACAGGGGCTCTCTACAAGCAATTCTTTCTACAGCTTTTTTTTCTGAGCCCTTGAATTTCGCTCTATATAAGAGATAGTCCAGGTGGCAAAAGGTATTTTCCGAGGGGGAATTTGTAAGACCTATTTCATCCGTTTATTACGTAATCCGAGCGTGTCCTGGGCTATGAAGCATGATATAATTATTGATTTGTCTCAACATCTCCAGTCGAGTGGGAACAACGTTCGCCTGCTGAACACGGCCCTGGTGAACGGGTTCACCATGATCACCTACCAGCGACCCTTGAAGGCGTCCGACCAGTTTGACCAGGGCATCGTCACCGACAAGGAGCAAGCCGTTATCTGGGCCGTGGGGGCCATCAACTCCCAGGGCACGGTGTCCTATCACAACAATCTCAAAAACAACGGTATGCGTTATTATAATTATGAGAATAATTATTATTAATATTTATCATCATCAGCATCTTTTCTTCTCCTTTTTGTGTGTGTGTCCCCGTCGTTATATACACAAAAGTCTCTCGATGCTGAGCTGATGGCGTTTCGAAGTCTGGCCCAATTGATTTTTTCTTACCCTTCGAAGATTCGATAGTCGAGTCGCATTAGCATGTCAACCGCTGACATTTCGTTAGATTTTAATCCCCATACTTGTTATTCACGTTCTTGTTTCCTCTCGCATTTTGTTGCTGCATGCTGATCTCTTCATTAACGGGATCGGGGTTCCTTTTCTTCGGAACCCCGCCTCTTTTCTCTCTCTCTCTCTTTCTCCATCTTTCTCTTGATGAAATAACCAGAGCGATTCTCTGTGTTAGCTTGAAAAGGCCAAGTTTTTCCATCGCTGTTATGGTTTTTTTTTTCTTTTTGGTGTGCAGTCGATCATATAAAGGGAAGTAAAAGTTGATGCTTTTGAAGAGAAAAATAACTGAATAAGGTTAATGGGAATAATGAAGTTGGTCGATTTACTTTTCACCGTAGGGGTATATAGTAAAACCCAATCGACCGATATTTGATTTGCAGTTTCTCTTCAATGCGTATAATCTCAGCTCCTTGTCGAGTGGATAATTTCAGTTTTTTATTTTTTTCAATATTGGAAGTCACTGAAGCATATCCTAACTATCGAAAGTTGATGGTGTTCACGAGTGGAATTTATGCGTAATTTTGAGTTTTGCGCATGATGGTCTTCGTTTTTATGTCTCCTTCCAATTGAGTACTGTATCTATATAGTCTCGTTACTATTCAATTTTTATTTCCTTTGAGTAGTTTATTCCGAAGCCCTTGAGAATAAATTGGGATTCGCGGGACACGGGATGAGGATCTCTTGGTTGAAGTTATACATTTTTAAAATAAATCCTCACATTTAATATCATCCAATTATTTATCAAATTGCATGTGCTCACTCGTTCAAGTGCATTAAATTGAAAACCAGGCACAATAGAATAAAATACAATATGCAAAAAGAAAAGCTTACCAGAAGCTTTTTTGGAGGGAGGGGGGGGGTGAAAGAGTTTGTACTGTAAAATGTGTACCCACTTACCCGTGACGTCGAAGAACAACCTCCGAACAGTTGGCAATACGGAATAAATTTTCCGTGTTGTTCAATCTATTTAAAATTTGTCTGATTTTCATCGCAAAAATCTCATAACAATGTTGTGAAGAGCTAACAAGAAGGGAAATGAGAATTCCATGCCGTCATTGCGGTTAAATCCAGATTTTGGGTTTCAATTCAATTCGCTCTTGGCAAAAAAACAGAATTGTTATTTTCCATTCGTTGGCGAAACCCCAAATGAAATCTTTTTAAATGTTTCATATAGTGAATGATTGACCGATTGAACCGACCGCACGTCATGCAGTATAAACTTATATAAATGACCTGATCGACGTCCGAAATTTTAATCAAACAAGGATCACGAATTTCTGGCTTTGGAAAAATTTCCACGTCTCCTGGAAGTTAAAAAAATCTTTTGGATCCCACCTATTGGAAAAATGGCTATTATCCCCAAATTTGGACATAATTGGTTCATCAAGAGTGTCCCTATGTTGAGTCTTGTTTTCCCATAGACTTACATTATATAATTTTTAATTAGTGTTTCATGGAAGAAATATTCTTCAGAATTCCATGAAAAAAAATGTGTTTGCCACTTGAATTTGATTCAGTGAATATATATTTTCAACCTTATTAGAACATTTGGAGCATTGAATAGTATACCACTGTACAGTTAATTGAAATGTTGGCATCTGTAAAAATAACATCCAAGTCAAAAAAAGAGATTGAAGTCCCTCTGCTGTGCTATAGGTAATTTTTTTTTCAATTTGCTGAATGAATGGGAAATTGATGGGAAAAGTACCAAAGAATTTTAATTGCACAGATCTTAGGTTTGGAAATATCTGTTTCTTGCAATCAAGCCTAATAAAAGTCAATTTTCCTAAAATTTATTGGCAATTTTATCATGCTGAATCAGTGTCCATATATTGGGCCTTTTTTATGATTTTTTATATTGAAAAATAAATGTCCCTGCATCAAATTGTCTGCATGTTGAGGTGTCCGCATGTGTGGGTCTCACTGTATAATACCAGTGACCCAGTTAGATCAAGTCAATATTCAATTGAAAGTCAAAAAGTTCCGTGATTCTCCGCGGAGAACGCGTGTCCCTTTTCTTTGTTCTCGATTATACTGTAGTATCTCCCCCATTCCCATTAATCACGCCTTTAGTGCCAGCGGTTAACCCCAAATTTTTCTCCTTTTCTTTCGTAATTGATCACTGTTCATCTGCAAACTTGTTATCATCTCTTTTAAAATCGGCAGCACAATCGCCATTGCTGATCAACTTCGGGCGCCAGCCCAGGTGGAACTGCCCGATTCCGGACGATGAGACGAGTGGACCCCACGCAAGTCCAGCTGCTGCTGGCACAGGAAGCAAAAACAACAACAACAATAACAATAACAATAACAAGAATGCAGCAGGAGGGAATATCAGGAGACCCGTTGCCCCGCAAAGGGCTGAACCTCCGCGTCGTGGAGGTGCACCCATCAGTGTTCCTGCGCAAGAACCCGCGATCCCTGTGACGACCGGCGTGGAACCCTGGTTCATCCCGCCGATCCCGTGCTACGAACCCGAGGACGGGGTTTTCTATGCACACATTGGACCCACTGGTGGCAAGGCGGGTTACGAGAGCATCACAGGTTCGTTATTGCTTGACGAGTTTTATTGAATCCGTTCTATACTTGCTGCATGATGCATTGCTGAAAAAAAAACATAAAAAAATAAAAACATATTTATTCAAGTTTTTGATTTTGACCAAGATTCAAGATGTCTTCTTAAATGGCTTGTTGAAAATAAACATGGATGTTTTTTTGGCAGAATTCTCATTGCATTGAAGGAATTCAAATGTTAGATAACATATCGTATTTACTTGAGTACCACGCGCCCTCAAGTAAGGCGTGCACAGGGGTTTTTCAGTTGGAAATTTTGCTAAAACCTTATACCTGAGTAGGATGCACACCCCAATATTTACTGAATCTAAATCCACAAAATTTCGAAAATAACAACAAAATTTGACTTCAGACATGAATTGAATAAAAATCTGATCAATTTTCAACTTTTTCAGTATATGCAAGTTTTCTTGGTACATTTGTTCCAAATTTCTTCATTTTAATTAAGTATAATGCACACATAACTTCCTAAAACTTCTTGAAAACTTTGTACCCGCTTATGAAGCGCACCCTTTTTTTTCTTCTGAAATTTGAGAAAAAAGGTGAGGTGGTACTTGAGTAAATACAGTAGATATGTTTGTTCCATATAGCCTTAAGTATGACCATATAAGGAAAAAGTTTTAAACCTTATTTTCATGTTTGCACCACTTTGTACTAGACATGGCAACTTCAACATACAGTACTTTTTTCAGAGTACAGTACCAAGAAGTACCCGCGTAGCTCGAAAATATAAGTGAAAAATATTTTCACACATCTTATATACCTCTTCAAGTTTAATACAGTACTGTATAGTTGTTTTCGGAAATTTTAAATCGGGGCCATGTGGAGCGAAATTTCAAGTGGTGATGTTGAGGGTTTTTGAATTTTAAAACATTTTGGACTCTCGCCAGGTATATTCTGTGTCCAATGATATGCAGCCATATTCGTACTCAATTATTTTTATTATAGAAAATTGCGTTTACCTAGTAATGTCTGACTATTCTACACTAGTAATGTCTTTATTTGTATTTCTGCGGAATATTTTAAATCTGAAGTGCTTCGCAATACTTTTGAAAGATTGGTCATAGATTATTCTAAATTTAAGCGATGATTTTCGCGCGATATCGCATCAAAAAGATTTTTTCCAGAAAAGCTGATGATAGTACGGAGTACAGTATTTGCATTTTGAGGGAAAAAATTTTTTTTTTCAAACATGTAGAATTCTAGGGAATGGGATTTTTATAATTTTGCTTCAGTCAAAAACGTTCAAAAACCGACCTGAAATTATGTAACAGGTTTCTTACTGGGAGCCGACCATCAATTTAAAGAAGCAGGAAGAACTTCGAGGCTTTTATTCGAAAAGCTCACCAGGAAACTCTCGTATAATCGCCCTCGTGAACAAAGTATATTAGTTTTCTGTTGAAAAAAAAAAAAGCCAGGCAAAAAAATGTTGCGAAATAGAAGGGGGGAACTTTTGCAGGACTGGTTGTTACGCAATTCAATCTCAACCCTGCGGCTAGAAGAAAATTGCCTGGTTCGAGGAATTATTTGCTTTACATCACAAAGTTAAGCAGGCAAAACTTTCTCTCCAGCTTCAACATCGATCAAGTACCTCTTTTTTTTTTCTTTGGGAGAGAAAACGGAGGTTAAGAAATAAAAAAGGAACAGAAAAAAGCGTTTGGCAATTAAACAAACCTCTCTTCCCTTTCTTTTTCCTCTTCTTATTTTTTTTAATGTTTGTTTGCATGATACCACGTCAGCAATGGGGGGAATAAACAGCCTTTCTTTGCAGATCACACAAATAGAACGTCGTATCCCTTTTCTTATTGCTATTTCCGCATTTTTCTTTCCGCCCCGTCGGAGTTCAATAACCCGTCGCCGCGGGTTCTGCAAGTATTTGCGGTAAATAACACACCGAAGGGTACAAGGGACTAACCGAGAGACGTACAGTACACGAGTTCATTTTTACTCTCTTTGTATATTATAATAACGATGATGATAATAATAATTATTATTAGTACGGTATTATTATTAGTTTTTTTTGGAACCCCCTCCGACCGGTAACGAGTCCGACGAGAGGTAAAAGTTGAACGACGGCTTTTCTTATTGCTGTTGAGGCGCTGTTTCGCTTTCTCTCGCCGGTTTTATTTATTTTATTTTTTTTTCCACTTCCGATTACACGAACCTCGGAACTTTCTGACACGTTTCCTCGTCGCTTCGTAATTTCTTTGCTTCGCTTTTGGTCGATTACGCAAGTCCCGCGAGAGGAAGTTGTTTTCTAGTGTCTCAAACGTTAACCGGTGAGGTTGGGCGAAAAAATGTGTACAGTACTGTATGTTTGCCCCATGCCGTTTATTATTTTTGATTGCAACCATTTGATTGCACGATACATGTACTGTATTTTCCTCGGCTGAGGTACACTAATGCTGTAAAAGTGAAGTTTCCTGGGGGCAATGGTCATTTTAAACCAAGAAAAGGAGCAGAATTAGCCGTGTTCTAAAAATAGGGCCGGCATGTGAAGACATTCCTACATAATGATGCTGAGAAATGATGGATAAGACGACCCACGTGGAATCTCTCAACAAAAAAATTCGAGTGACCAGAAAAAAAAATGCGTCGTATAGAGAGAATTTCATTGTATAGATGAACCAAACCCTTCGGACCTAAACATTTTGGAGAGAAAACGGAGAATAAGAAATGATAAGATGAATAAACAAAACTTTCGACAATTGAAGAAACCTCTCTTCCCTTTCTAATTACTATTAATATTATCATGGGGGTTCTTTGCCACGAAATTCAAGGGACCAGAAAAAATCTTTGCAGAGAGAATCTCGTAGTATAGAACCCCTATAACATGGGTATAGATAGACTATAGAGAACCCTACCAGTGTGACCAAAAACAAAAAAAAGTCATAATGCAGAGATATTCGTTGTAGACAAGATTACATGGAGAGTCCATCTGATGTGATAACATTTTCATTCGTCAAGCTGATCCCGGCCAAGAGAAGGACTTGTTTGGTCAGTCGAAGATTATCGATTTTAAAAATATTTTGGAGATTACAGTTGAAGTAATGGAGAAATGAAATTTATATTTTTGATCACCTCTTCGATCCTCAGAAGTCAGTGATGTGTGTTCCTCTTCAACTGAAACCAAAAGCGAACGTTTTCTATTGATTTGAATAATTATTGCACACTAAATTGTCTGGCCATGAGTAATCTTGGTTTCAATAAAACTTATGCATTCTGTGACTTTCCGTCAGTTTATTATACTGTACTACAGTAATATAGGTGCACTAAAAGTTTCATTATTGGCGGGATATCGATTGTACAAAAGAATACATTGAACACTGTATACATCGTTCCCGCCGCTTCTTTTTTAGTCCCAACTTCTTCTGATTTTGTAAAGGCAATTGTCTCGTTAAACTGGTTATATCTGTAAAATTTTAATCTGATGAAAATCTCCGTGTGAAATCCTTATGAAATTGTTTTTTATCATCACGCTGTAATAACGTTCGCGAGAAAAATTTAGTCATCCAACTGATGGATGTCTTTCAAATTAAATTGTTGCATTTCTTGCATTTTCACTTGTTTACTTTCAAATGAATGGAAACCCGCGCGTATAAACAGATACTTTATGATGATGGTTTCTGTGTATTATTTAATTTGCGATAATTCATTACCGTCAAATCGTTGCAGTGTGATTGAAAATTCGAAGTACTGTAAGTATGTGCGTTTTTATTCATGATTCGCCTTTTTTTCAGGACGAGTTGGTTGGGGTGTTGCATGGTACATCAATGGATTGCTGATTCCCGAAATCACAGTTGTTCGTGGGAAAACGTACACTTTTGTCGTGGAAGCAGGAAATGATGCTGAAAATCCAGTCAAATTTCATCCCTTCTACATCACTGACGATTCCGAGGGTGGATTCGCTTTCAAGAGCGACGAAGAAAGAAGGGTTCGTTTTTTTTCAATAAATCTTGAATGATTTGCATCGCAAAACGTGGGAAAAAACTCTAAAAAAAAAGAAGGGTCGGAAATGTGGGAATTTCCATTTTATGTCTGTCAGCGTGAGATATTCAGTACCTATTATGTTTCAGGATTTCCAAAATTGACCTTCGTACTGTACTTTTAATTCTGAGTTGACTGATGGAAATTGCCTTTTTTGAGGAATTATTTTTCGTTGGATTTCGAACGAGGGATTTTTTTCAATTCGCGATTGAAAAAAAGAAGGTATTTTGGGCTACCGAGTTTCCAAGCTTTATAACCTGTGTATTCGCTGCAAGTCTTTTTTTTTTTTTCAAAACTCTCACTGCAGAAGATGAAGACTATTAGCGAACGAATTTTATTATAACTTAAATAATCAAGCCCGAAATTTTTTTGGAATTTTCAGCTCTAAAAACTCTGGGTTAAAAAATTCTCTTGAAGTGGAACTCGATGTTTTTTTTAACGATTTTGACCAGGAAAATGTTTTTTGCAGATTTAAAAACTGCTGTCTTGTTTTCTTTTCTACTTTTTTATGATTGAAGAAAGTTCGGATTTTCGCTGGAGTCGGACAAGACGTGCTCGGAAACGTGGTGCCCACAGGAGCCGGACGATCGTGCCAATGGACGGAGAACCCGGATCAACCCGCGGCCCAGTTCCCATCGTTCGGAGCATACCAGCGATCCCTCACGCTCAAATGCGAGGATGGACAACCGGGTATCGTTCAATGGGTTCCAGACAGCCAGACCCCCGATACTGTTTACTACCAGGTCCGTCTTTCCATTCTCCGAAAAAAAAAAAGGAAGTCGTCACACTCTAGGACGAACAATTTTTTCTTTTTTATGCATCAATAAATATTTGGAAGTATGACTGCTGCTTTTCAAATGGAATAGTTCTGATGTACGTGCTGCTTCTCGGTTAACATCGAAAATTTTCCAATTTAAAAACTTTCTAAACATGTGTGTAGCAGTATGGGTTTGGCTCTGCTCTTTCCCTATACAGCAGTACGTGGAAAGCCGATTGGTTGATTGAAAAGAAAGAAAGTGTGTATACAGTGGGTTTCCCTACATGTCCGATCATCTGCATGCCGAGTGAAATTTCCCCATGAATTTCTTCAGTTGGAAAATATTCAATTGTTTCTTCAGTTTTTCAAAAATTTGGAAGAAACCCCCAACAAATTTGGAGGAATTTTTTCAATAACCTCAATATACAGTAAAGAAAATAACTGTGCAGGCATTTTAAAGTAATTATAATTTTCTGAGCCCTTTTGTTCTTGACACAGGAAAGAAGAAAACCATTAAAAAAGCAACTTGATGTGTTTTGATAGGAAGTGAAAGACTAGTTGGGCAAATGAATCCCTGCCTCCAAGTTCAACTTCCTGTCAACTCATGTAACAAGCTATTTATGGCTCAGAATATCACCATTTACAATTTCCAGCAATACATAATATTTTTCCCGCAACAAAAATGCTGTTTCCCTATTTAGAAGCCTCTCTGAATCAAATGTTTTTCTGTTGGCCCTCTGTAATTCAAATTAGAAAGGATTTGCTGTATATTTACGGGGTTACACGTTTCTGCGCGGACTTAAAATGATCCCGACACCAGCAAAGATTTTTTAGAAACATTTTCTCATGCTCAGATTCAGTAGTTCTAAGAAGCTAAGCAGGCGCCTCAATGTCGTCAACACCAATTTGTTGACACTTCTTGGCCCTTTTGATCCATGTGTTGAAACATCAGGCCTTTAAATGTTCGGTTTTTAAATTTTGAATCTCCCGACTTCAATGTTCCCATCAGCAGCACCAAGCAAGCTGATCCGCGAGGAACCGTGTAACCTATAGTATATACTGAATAGGAGTACTGTATATTAAATACAGTGAGACCCCAAGATGTAGACATGATTGGTGCATCAAGAGTGTCCCTAAGTCGAAATGTCCCCAAGTTGAGTCTCATTTTTCCTTAGACTTGCATTATATAATTTTAATTTATGTTTCATGAACAAAATACTCACCATGATTCCATGAAAATAAAAATTGTCTCCTCATTTAAACTGTTTCAATCAATATATTTCAAAACAATATGGGCATTTGGGGAATTGAATACTGATACCTCTGTGTATTACATGGAAATGTTGGCATTCTCTGTAACAAATATAGAAATGTTGGCATTCTCTGTAAAAAAATAACATACAAGTGAAAAAGAGAGAAGGAAGTCCCTCTACGCTGAGGTAATTTTTTTAATTAGCTGAATGGATGGTAAATTGGCGAGAGAAATGCGCCCAAGAACTTTTCTTGGCTCAATTTTAGGGTTGAAAATACCTGTTTCTTGTAATTTGGCCTGACATGTATTTGCAATTTTATCACAAAATGTCCATATGTCAAGTCATTGTCCTCAAGTTGGGCCTTTTTTATTAATTTTCTTTATTGGAAAATAAGTGTCCCTATGTTGAATTGTCCACATGTCACGGTGTCCGCATGTGGGGGTCTCACTGTATACATTATTTTTATTTATTTATTTTTTCCCTGCCAGTGCTTCACTCACAGACATCTGGGCTGGAAGATAAACGTGGTGGACAGGTGTACTCGAGACCGGGTCTTCGCCGGCAGCCAACAAGTCCCCGTCAACGTGGCTCCCGAAAACGCGCTTGCCAGCGTGCACGAAGTGTCGCCTGTCGACACAGCCGACGAGTCTCAGCTCTACCTAGACGAACTCGCCGCCGAAGCACCGGCACACTCGAACCGTCGATCCCAGTACGTCGACAGCGAGAACTTTCGCAACAAGAACAAGAAAATCGGCGGCAAGACCAAGGACGAGGACGAGTCGAAAAGCTCCTTGTCCGTCATCAAGGGCGGCGGTCATTTCGACAACGGGGATAATAGGAAAGCGGAAGAAGGCGAAGAAGAAGAAGGAAACGGAAATAATCAGCAGGAAGGGTCTCATCAGCAGTTGGGTCAGGAGGAGGAAGATTTGACAGTGAGCTTCCCGAGTTTCCCGGAGTTTGGCCAAAAGAAGGCGGCGGCCGAAACGGCAGAAAAGACCATCAGCACCAAGCAAAAGGTCGGCATCAGCAAGGAAGAGGTTAAAGACGGTGTGGTGATCATTGAGGCAGTTCCGATCAGCCACGACAAATCACCGTGAGTTGTTATTATAACATATTATTTAGTGTACAGTCAACCCTGGATTTAATACTTGCCGATTTAGTGCCACCCTGGCATAGCGCCTCAAATTTCCCTGGTATACAAATCATCAATTGCTGTGTTATTAAGGGATACCCTGATTCAGTGCCAATTCACTTAGTACCCCAAAAAAATCTTTGTCTCATTAAAAAAAGTGCCAAAATCAAAGAAATTAGGGCCTTTTTCTAAGGATTTTATTGGATTCCAATTGAATACACTTGAACCGCAATAAAGAAGTTGATCATCATCCCTATGTTGAATACCTCTGGGAGTTAAAACTTTTTTTTTCAAGTCCCTGACTGAATATTTTTAGAAACAATGTACAGTATAAAAAAACCTTTCTAACTTGAAGGCTTTACCTCTCAAACCTCTGGAAGTCGAATTTTCTGAGGCTTTTTGGCTAATATTTTTTTTACACGTGAAAGAGAAAACGTGAAATAAAAAACCTTTCTAACTTGAAGGCTTTACCTCTCAAACCTTTGTAAGTCAAATTTTCTGAGGCCTTTTGGCTATTATTATTTTTTACACGTAAAAGAGAAAAGCAATAAAACAGGTAACTTCATGTGTTTCAAAAGGAAGTGAAAGACTAATTGGGCAATGAACCCCTGCCTCCCAAGTTCAGCATGCTGTAGACTCGTTTAAGAAGCGATTTAAGGTCCAGAATATCACCATTTACAATTTCCAGCATTTTTTCTATGTTTCCTGCAACAAAAAATGCTTGTTTCCTAAACTTGGATCCTCACCAAATGGCCTCTATAAGTTGAATTTTTTGCTGGTCCCTTGAAATTTAACTTTGAGAGGTTTGACTGTAACTGATAATTGCATCCAAATTCTGCCATAAAAACTCAGGATAATTTTGAACATTCTATTTTTGATTGTACATTGTTGGAAATTATTTTTATTGCTGTATGACATCTTCCTATATGGAAAATTTAAAACCCGCCATGGATTTTTTTCAAGTGTACAATTTTCTCTGAATAAATAGGAAACCAATGTTGGACCATGATGAACATCACTTCTTGACCCCCGTGTACCCCGGGGCGAGTGGTCCGAGACAGCCATCGACTGACCATCACGAACACCTGCAACATCACTCACCGTCGGAATCAGGAAACAACCAGGGCCCAGGTCACCGTAGAAGACCCGTGCCTCAAGCAACCTTCGGTCACCAAGGTCCTCATCAACAGCAACATCACCAAGAACCTCATCAACAGCAACATCACCAAGATCATCATCAGCAAGAAGAACCAGAGCATGTAGCTGCTCCAGTGCGTCCTCAGAAGCATCATCACGCTGGAAGCGATGTTCGAGGCGATCAAATACAATCCCATAGGAACAGGATCCCCATCCCGCAAAGGTTAGTTCAGTACAGTACACTTATTTAGAGAGGAGATATCTCAACTTTGTTTTCATTAGTGTGCATTGTACTGTACCTTAAAAAGAAGTTCGAATACAATTTTTGGGCGTGCGAAGTACTGTACTGGAGTTTCTGCGTCCAGAGTTCTGCGAATCACTTTGGGATTGTTTTCAAGATTTAGATCGAGCTTTTTAGTCATTTTCTGCTAATTTTTCTTGAATAACTGCAGCCCTATACTGGATAACTTGGTCAACATCTTCCTCGCCAACCTACTTCAACATTTAGAATCACGCAAAACAAAAACTTTCGCAAAGAAATCCATATTATTAAATGCAATTTCGGCGCTTGGTCTTCTTTTCATATCAATCCGATTGATGACAAATTCGAACATTTTCCTCCGGGAATGAGAAAAATTACTCTGTGAAATGAACTTTTGTAGATCTCAATGCATCCACCAAGATTTCGACCGGTGATGTGAAGCTTCAAACTGAAGGAACTTGTGAATCCACGTATTTTGTTGAATTGAAGAGTGTTTCAAAATTTTTTTGTGAATACGCAAGCCGATTTTCTTTTATACCTGAAGCACACACAAGATAACAGTAATTTAATAAAAGTACCGACTTTTACTTTTTGTGGGATTTCTGATTGAATTAAAATATGGTATTCTGGATTCCGAATCACAGTAATATGCGCATCTGATTTCGAATATTATTTTAGTTCATCCATTGGAAAGCTGAAAAATGAATGATAAAAATAATTAATTCGCCTATTTTTTTGAATGAAAGGATTTTTAGATTTTTTTTGTGCGAATAAGCTTGTCGTTTTCATTTTTGATTTCTGAATCTCTCGAGAAATGCATTTGAATAGCGTCGAACATTATTTTAATTTGTCGCCTTAATTGTTGAATATAAGGGAATCAGGATTTATATTTCCAAATTACAGTAGAACGCATCGAATTTGTAAAAAATCTTTGAACCCTTTTTTGAACGCTAAGAAATGAAACGGGTTGCCTCTCAATGATACAATTTGTCTTTAATGCCTGGTTTGTTTGGAATTTCGTAAATTCATCGGGCATTAATTTAGATTTGAAATTTTCCGTACTGAGTACCATGAACATTTGAGTTGCAGAAATACTTTGAACGTTATTTCGTAGTTTTTTTCTTCAATTATACAGGGGCATGTTTATATGCAGTAATTTTTCATTTTTTTGCTTTTCTCAACCCATTATCCTTCCAGCAGGCCACATCATCCTCCCCAAGAAATCCCGTCGGAAATAAACGAACCCATTTCGGAAGAAGGCCCAGCGTTCAATAACGACCCACGCGTTGTGCTCCCAGAAGCCCACAACACGGGCTTCAAACCCAATACGGTTATTTTGGAAAGCGGATTCAAGCCGATTCGAAAGGACACGGATCCAGTGTTGCCGCCGGCGATCCAGCAGAAGGTGCATCAGCAGGACAGCCAAGAAAGACCCGTCCCACCGGGCCAGCAGGGCCAATTCCTCGAGGCCCTGGCTCCGGATTCGTTTAATCCGGTCTTCCGACCTTCGCCCAGCGATGAAGCAGATGGGCCTGTTCATCAGCAGCAGCAAGGGCCAGTCAGACGACCTCAGACGCCGATCATCAGGCCAAGTGAATCATTCAACTTTTTTTTTTACCAATTTACACTCTAATAAAACTCTGATTTTCCGATCTAAAATCAGACGAACGTCCGGGTTTTCGAAACTTTTTTTTTATTTGCTATTGCACCCAAAATGAATGAAATCTCGTGGGACCGTCATCATCTGTTCGACGAACGAAAAATCAAATTTAGTTTCGAATTCTCCGAGTTTATGAACCCAATTTATGAATTAAATACTGTACAGTTCTTTCACCCGGCGTGTAAAGCATGGTTTATGGATGAATCACTGTCGACTCAAAAACATGAGAAAGCGTAATCAGCATCCAGTTGATTATACAGTAGCAATTGATTATCGCAATCACCTTGGTCCCAATTATCTGAAAAAATTAGAGTTCAGCTGCTGCATTTCTTTTGGGCGTGCTTCAATAATAGATCTAAGCTAATGATGTAAAACAGTTGGAATTCATTCGAAGAGAGAGTAATTATACGAATGAAATATTTTTTATGAATATCTCATGAAATTTTATACAGTACAGTAAATTTAATGTTGGCTGATTTCAAGGCGATCACGTGAAAAAAAAAAAAATTTGAAGCTGCATGTGTGCAGGTCTTCCAAGCGGTTTTTCCAGGGGAAAAGTCCGACGAGTGAAACCTATTTCAAACTTTTTCAGATTTTTCGATGATCATAATGGAATTCTCATTTTCATTCATGATCATCGATAAATCCGAAATTTCACCCTTCAAATTATTGGTGTTGAAATTTAATCTGGGGGGGGGGGGGGGGGGGGGGGCCAA